TCAGGATGAAAAGTAACATGTCAGACCTTGAAGTTGCTGTATCTCTGGTACACACATATTACTGTTTATTTTGGTTTCCCACTAAGCTGACAAAGAACCTGAATAATTTATCTGTCAGTCTGCCTGAGTGGGCAGCATATGGGCACTGAGGAAGATGCCAGCTTGTTACAGGCTCATTACAGGTGAAGATGACATGTAGAGGTGCAGCCGATTTGGCATTGTCTCCCTGTTCCTTCCTCAATAGATTGCAACACACTCTGTAATTCCCATGGTGTACATAGAAGGGGGAGGCGGAGACAGTGGAGGGTAGGATCCACGACGCACCCCTAACCCTGCAAAATGAAATTGACAGGCTCACTGAAGTAATTGCTCCCAACACTATTTTCTTTGGCAGGAAATACTGTTATCGACAAACAGGGGATTCAATAAGCAGCAGGAGATGAGACTCAAGTCTCTCCTCTGCCGTCGACGTTGCAGAGTCTTCTGATGGCCTTTGTCCTCCCCTTTATTCCCAAAGTTCCCTTCTGTTTTTTATTTTTTTTATTTTACCCTTTTTATGTTTTCTTGCCCTTCATTCTTTTTCCAGTGCAGATCCTAAACACACAATAACAACTTCTCACAGAGTTTTCCTCTTGATTTTGGCTTTTTTCCATGCTGTTTTTTAACCATTTTGTCTGAACCAGTCAGAGACCAACAGTTATTACTTAGAGGCCAGCCTGCGACTACTTCGCTTCCTCTCCTGCTCCTTAGATTATGTCTCTGCAGCCAGTATAGGGCTGTAATGTTGATATCATCCCAATGGATTCCATTGATTTGAGCTCAGAACATGAAAAAGCAGTTTATGGCATACGTCTTTGGTTTCCAGAGGTCAGATCATGTGGTGAAACCAGAGCTCAAGCTTTTCTGGACATCGTGGTATGTTTGCTGGGAACTACTGAGTAGTAGGAAGATAAATGTATTTGTATATAAATGCCTTTGTGTCCAACCTTCCATTACTGTGGATGTATGTTAAAAAACCTCCAAAGATGCAAATAGGCTAAGTGCAGTAATACAATCTAAGTTAAAAAATGTTTGCTTTTCAAATTTAATCTTTCTGTTGTTTTATAATTTAAGGTTTTGTTATTTTACTTCTACTAAATTATTTGCTTTAATTGTTAAAGTCTTAAAAACAACTTCTGCTTGATGGTTTAAAATAATAAAAAAGAAATAAATGATTTAAAAAAAGATTTGATTTAATATGTTTCGAAATATTAACCTTTATCCAGTCACTAAATTCAACTTTAATTAAATTTTTTAGTAGCATAACGAAGCTCCTGCCTCCAGTTTTAAACCTCAAGTCTCTCTGAAGACTTGAGGTTCAAGTAATGTGAGCTGGTAAAGTCCTGCGATATATTAAAATAAAAACTTTGTCAAACATGCTGCACTACAGGTTGAATTATTTATTTAAAACATTACTGGGCTCTAGCATCTTGATAAGTTTAAATAAATTATTTATTACTTTTAGAAAACTTTTAATTTTGTCTCAGCTACTATATTAAACTTTCTGTGATATCAGTACTTTCCCATCCATTTTAAAGACTCAAAAATTAAGTACAATACAAGCCAGGTGAAGTAGTTGCACACATACGTTTAGTTTTGGGTTTTATTGACGATGAAAACCTAACAGGCTTAGATTCCCCAACAAAGAAAAAAGTATAGCTTTTCTGCACTGAATGGACTCATTCATTGCCAAATAATACAAATATTTAGATGTTACTTCAGGATGAAGTACTTGTGTCTCCTTTGTTCATATTATTTTGGATGTGAAAGGAGTGATTTATCTTGTTAATTTGAATTTTAGTTACTTTTTTTTGTAAAAACAATGTCTTTAGCCTTTGTGTAAATAGAGGATTTGATGGTATATATTGTAGTTAGTGAGAAGTTTTATCCAATCTATAATCAAGAGATGTTTCATCCAAAACTGTGGCTCAGATATTGAGTCAAATAATCAGAGGTGTTTGGGGTTCACAAAAAAAAAAAAAATGGTACTTAAGGAGTAGCACTACTTCATCATATTTTACTCCAGTAAAAGTAAAAAAGTATTTGGAAAAAAAGGCTACAGTCTTGGGTAACTGATCTACTTACTACCCATGACCATAACAACTACCGGTAATCTATTTTTTTTTAGTTATAACACTTATGAAATCAATAGTTACATTATTTAAGAATAGGTTAAGTCACGGGATACTGTATTTTCACTTTATTTCAAAATTACATGGCAGACTCAACAGATGAAAAAAATAATATTTCACCAATAAGCCTTGAGAACATAAAATAAGAATACACAGAAATACAGTCTGCTATTCCAATCTCTTTTTTTTAATGACAAATAACATCTAACATAATTTGCATACAAAGCATGAATGCATGGGACTTTCAAGACCGATCTTTGCAGTATTAATATTGCCGATTATTTATAAAATAAAACCAAATCACTGGATATTGTGAATGGAGCGATACAATGTATACAAGTGTAACACTATTTGCTCGAACTTGGTGCTTGATGTCTATTTTTAATTAGCTAAAGCTCAAAGACTGTGGTGCATTATGCTAAAAGGGTTTGGAAAAACCATCAGAATATTCAGTAATTGTATCAAAATCAAATGTTTTCACATTTACATTTTTTTTACTTTATTTGCACTAATTTATGGAAGCAAATCGTTATCATATTTCAAATGAAAAAGCATTTTCAGAAATGCTTTTTCATTTTAAGAATGTGGCTCCCTTGTTTGCCTCATAAATTAAATTAGTAATCAATAATCCTGTTTGCATTTAAATTTTTTTCTTTAAAACTGCTCATCCTTTTACTTAATAAAAATGAAAAAGAAAGACAATTGAGATTTATTTTTCAAAATGTACTCCAGCAAATACATAGCAAAATTCAATTTGAAATGTAAAATTTGAAAATAAAAAAGCATTTCCAGAATGCTTTTTTATTTTAAAAATGCGGCTGCATTATTTGACTCATAAATCACCTTCTTTAATCTTTGATTTAACTCAGTTATTCTGTGACTGTAAGGATTTAAAAACTCTAGAAATGGCAAGGCCGGGTGCATCTTTCCCCTTTATCTACACCCATTACCTTTCTACCAGCTTTAAAATAAAACAAAAATAAATTATCTTTAAAACAAAAACATAAAAACACTAAAGTGTTTATAGCTTTGCTGTATACATTTTTATAGTGGACAGAAACATGTTATGAAATAGGAAATTAGTATCTTCTTCATGTTTCTGCATGACTTTCTTCTCAACACTTAATAACAAAAAAGGGCCACAACAATAAGCTGCTTAGTTGCATGCAACAGTTTTATTGTGAAAATAAATCATGCTATGGCACCAGTCATTACAAGACTACGATTCTACATCACCATCATTAAAGAAATGTATTTTTGATATCATTTAGTCAAAGCCCAAGCTTAGCTTGCATTAAAAATATAAGATAATGGCTGCCTTGCTGTTGGAATCCCTCTGGTTTTCATGCACTGACACAAAAACGGTTAATTCATGTTGATTGTGGCATTGCAACAGAACAGCAGGTCTCTTTCTCTGCAGATAAATATGCTAGCTTATTACCTCCCAAAATGCCTATTAGTGTAGTTTGCTGTGTGGAGAACCAGCGGTATAAGAATGAATACAACCACGTTCCTTATGCCTGGGAGCCTGTTTCAGGATGCTGTGATGGAATCCCAGCAGCCAGTTTCTTTAGTTTGGTTCTGTGCCTCTGCTTCCTTCTAGAAACAACCGACATGACTTTAGCACTATCATCCAGTAATTATCAAAGATCCTAAGAATTTATTAAAGGCTCTTAAACATAAAAAATTGGCATATAAACCTTTTTGCATTTGGAACTTTGTTGGAGTTTGAGTCCAGTGATTGATTCAATCAGTCTGGTTATTCATCAATTTTAGGTATAAAGCAGGCTTCAGGTATGAATTATGTCACAACTGATCTCCTTATCTAAGTGTCAGTGTAGAAACACGTCCCTGTGGAGATAAACACAAAAACCTGTCTACCTTAAGGATACACTGCTGTCTACTGCATGTGGTGCCTGTCTTTGCACTGGTGGTAAAGTCCATTATCAGAGTCTTGGTTGATTACACATCAGAAAGGAGAAAATGCTCAGCATATTTTTTAATTTACGTTATATTTTAGGCTAAAACAGGCTTCAGGCACGCTCTGCTCATCCAATTTATAATTTCCTTCTCCTTGGATGGATAAGATACAAAGTTTGTTTTCATGGAAAATAACATATTAGTGTATTTCATGAGACACGTTGAAGTAATTTATGAAGTGAATAAACAAACATAAATCATACATTTGTTTTAAGCCCCCAGAACTCTGAATGATCTACTCATTAGGGTAAACCTAATTAGAAAATAGTCGACATGTTTGAATTAACATCTGTATAGGTTCAAGCTGTCCGATTAGTTCTCACAGGTTTCAGAAAAACATTAGTAAAAAACGTAAACTGCTTCATAAAGACCAAAAAAAACACCAGCATGAATTTCAGAGACACAATTATAGAGACATACATGTAGAAGGCGCTCAGATGAGAAAATTTTCAGCTTTTAGCAACAGACTGGTTAGACATGGTGGTGGCAGCATCATTCTGTGAATAAAAAGTAAAGTGATTAAAGTGCTTAAAACTATGTCATAGTTTTTTCATTTCACAACTATGCACTTCTTGAGTCTCTCATAAGAATACAAAAAACATCTAAGGCTTTAGTTGTTTCTTTAAGGGAAACAGAAAAATAAATAACATAGTTTCTGCATATTTTTGCCGTGATATGTAACATTGTTTAATTTGTTGGGGAACCATATGTAATCCACTCTGTATAGATAAGACCATTGGATAAAGTTATGGCATCTTACAGTAGATCACCACACACTTTTTGTCATTACTATGGTTAAAAGGTTCTAGTTTGAACTACTAATTTAATGTTTTTGTTTTCTTTTCATAGGGTGGGCTACGAAACAGCAGACATGAGTGTACACTTTCATCCCAGGAATACGTCCATGAGCTGCGCTCTGGCATCATGGACGAAAAGCTGCTCAACTGCTTGGAATCCCTCAGAGTGTCTCTCACCAGTAACCCTGTCAGGTTGGTAACTGAAGATTTATTCACAGAGAACCAACCTTTGTTTAATTGTAATTGTTGTAAATTTTTTATGATATATCAGAATATTTGGGCACCCTAAACTCATTAAAACCATTGTTCTGTTTTGGGTGTTTAATTGAAGGAATACACAATTTGAAGTGAATTGAATTGAAAATCCCTTTATTGTCCCACAATGGGGAAGTTGTGGTGGCAGCAAAAGGTATAGCAGAAGTGGTCATAGAATGTGGACCTTTGACAGTGTATAAAAATAACAGAATAAGTAACAGAGTACAAAGTACTGTACTGTGCAGTGTTTTACAATATAAATTCTCTCTATCAGGAGTGTAAACACTCAATAAACAGCAATTAAATAAACAGCAATAAACAATTTGAGGGGAAAGAAACATCTTCACAGATGAAAATGTTGCTTTCCCATCATTGGGTGTCATAAAATGAGACAGATGGATCCAGAATTCAGGCGAGTCAGAGAGTGGGAAGTTTCAAAATGTTTAATGACAGAAATTAAAACAAAAATGAACAGTAACATGGTCTTCTGGGGATAAGAGAGGGAGGCGGGGCCCCGCCTAATCACTGACACTCGGGAGGGAGAACCACAGGTAAGTGACCACAATCATCTGGCAGATGACTGTCCGAATGAGTCACTAACCTGGTTTAAAGGTTCAGTCTATCCACTTCGAGGAAGGCAGAATCCAGCCGAGGCACTGCCGAACGAGCGGCGGTGCAAGGCCGCCTAGAGTGTCCCCGACACAGCATCCCCAGGGAGCAGGAAGGAATCCGATCAAAGTCAGGGATACAGATCAGATAGAAACAGTTCTGGAATCCAGGAGTCCGTAGCCCGACCAGGGGTTCCTATCCGAACCGGAATAGACAGACCAGGGACTTAACTAAAACTTATGAAACGAAGATGAATAACTGACATCAAAAACATAACATGAATAAACTAAGAATACACAACTAATGATCTGGCCCCGATAGCTGGGCTGAATCGTATATATATAAGAGGGAGCAGCTGAATTAGATAAATGATAATTAAAGAGCGAGAAGGGAATGGCAGAGGAAACAATCCATTTTCCGTCACGCTTTTCCCAGGCGGGGTCGCAATCTCCCCCCATCTCCAGCTGTCTACAGGCGAGAGGCGGGGTAGAACCTGGACAGGTCGCCAGTCCATCGCAGGGCAACACAGAGGCAAACAGGACAAACAAACATTCAGGCACACACTCACACCTAAGGAGTATTTAGAGAAGCCAATTAACCTGACAGTCACGTTTTTGGACTGTGGAAGGAAGCAAGAGTGCCTAGAGAGAAACCACACATGCTCATGGAGAACATGCAAACTCCATGCAGAAAGACCCCGGGGCAGGTATTGAACTAGGAACTTTCCTGCTGCAAGGCAGCAGTGCTATCCACTGCGTCACTGAGCAGCCCAAGGCAGCAAAATGAAGTGAGTAATCAGATCAGCTATTGGGGCTACCATAATGATGTTGGGAACCAATACTTTTTTATTTTGTCCTGTGATTTGGTAAAAAATGTTTTTATCTGGTTCTGAGCAGTGAAATGTCTGCAGTGTTAGCTGTGAGATTCCTTTGTAAAAGTAAAATTGGTTGTTTTTGCTGCTGCCATGCTGTAGTGAACTGATATTTGACCCACAAAATAAGTCAATCTAATAAATTTCCCCTCCGTCTTTGTGCAGCAGGCCTTTTCTCCCCCTCCTGTTTGACTGGCAGCAGTCATCCCAATTAAAATGGCCAAGCTTACCAGTCTCAAAGGAGAAAAGGCTGCTTTTCTCCCTCCATTTGTTGCTCTAACAACAAATTGAGTCTATCCCAGTTCTCCAAAGGTGGTCAGTGAAAGCCTTGGGAAGTGCGGCGAGGTATTATTTATTTAGCTTAAACACCACAATTTCTGTATTCCAGCCATATAATGTTACACCCACTTCGCTGTGTTCGTCTCTCCTCTCTCAGTCATGTTCACACCATTTTCTTCTTCCAGCAACCTGCCTCCCATAAGAATTGGGAACAAGAGCTTTCCTTAAACAAGTCTGCTGCTGCAAATTAGACATGTCTTATAGCTGCAGATACCCTATCCATTTCTGTGAAACTCATTTAATAATATTTTCTCCCAGGAAAGCACTTTCCTATTAGCTTTTTTTCCCTTCCCAGATCATTTTCAGCTCTTTTGTTTGTCTTAATTTTCTTCTCCTTCATATTAGATTCTTTGAAACTGTTCTCCTAACTGATGGGGTACTTCTTTTTTATAGAGCATCTGGCAATACTAATCTTCATAAACTCAGAAATGTGCACATGTTTTTGATTGTTTAAAGTAGATTTATAACCACTTTTGGAAAGCTGATTTCTGTATTCGTTGACTACCAACTGAAAATGGATTATAACCTGCATAATTAGATCACAGCTGTTTAATTACTTTTGCACAGACTTAAAAAAAAGAAAGTTTAAAAAAGTTGGGGAGCAACATTAAACTTGTTTAGAAATCAACTCTTTAGGTCAGATTTTTCTTTTACTTTCTCTGCATTTGATCCATTGTGATTAAACTGGAATCAAAGCCACCATTACTGCTCATACTGAAGCTAAACCTCATACTATGGTGTGTCTCTTATCACATTCTTCACAGTTATTGATATTTGATTTGTGTTTGGTCTCTTGCTGGTTTAAAAACGAAACCTCAGTCACGACTACTGTTTGACCAGGTTATTGCACTCTACATGGGCATAGAGAGCAAAGCCTGGCCTATGGATGACGTGTCCACTAGATCCGCTGTGATCAATGAATTGTAAAATAATTTTGGAAAAGGAATACTTTCCACTCTTGAACTCAGAGATGAATCACGTTAATGCTATACCACAGATACAGACCTGTTGTTTCAGTCAGAACAAGAGAACATAATGATCTGTAAAGTTAAGGGCTGCTGTAAAGTCCAGCAAAACTAGAACCCCAGAGGATTTTAACAGACTGTTTTATCATTCTTTCATAAAGCAGAGCTCTATGCTCTGATGTAAAGCTAGACTGAATAGGTTTCAAATTTGATGTTGTTTTTTAACATGTTGAAAGTGATTAAAAACTTTTTTTCTTTTCTAAAACCCAGGAAAGACAGAATAAAAAAAGAAATTTGTCTTAAATGAGAAAAACCCAAAGATCAAGGTGTGTTTTCTTTGATAAAGAAACCTAACAAAAGCATGTTTGAAAGCAATCAACACAGTTCCTGAGCTAAGACAAAGGTTATTAAAGGTTAAGGAAGCAGTGCCTATGGTAATAAAAAAAAAAACTATTTTATCAATCTAGATGAAAGAGAGTGAAGAGGGCAATTAAGTTTTAGATTTTGCTCAATCTCATTCAAAAACTGAAAGAACAGTGGGTCAAGCTGTTTAATTTCATCTACCATGTTTTTTTTGTTTTGTTTTTGTCAAGGGTTTTCCATTTCAGAACGGTTACTGTGTAAACAGTCGTCCTTTGAGTATTTAGGAATGAGTCAAAGTTAGGAGATGTAGGTTAAGCCAGAGATCAACCTTTGGGTGTGTGTGCAGACAAGGACTTTGTGGGTGTCGACTCGCATACGTCCTTTAGTTATATGTATGCAGGTTATTTCTCTCCAGGGGTGAGTGACTTACTTTCCAGAAGCGTAGAGAAGGTTACTGTTAATTAATGCGAATGTTTTGCATTTTTTTGGCTATGGATTATGACACACAAAGTCTGCATTTTACGGTGCTATGTTAATGTAACCTTTATACACTGTCATCATACTGGCCGTGGCAGTACCTTAATGTTGAATTAAATCCTTCGGGGTGGGGGGATGTACTACTTCATCTTTTGAACTAAACATGGAGGTAATTGATTGGAAAATGTCTCCATTATTTTAATACTGAATTTTATTCGTTAACACCTTTAATATAATTATCATCTCAAGCACACTTCTGTTCCTCTTTAAACGATACATCTTTTTAGACTGTGACTTGTTACATTAATAAGTTTACTAAACAATACAGTTTAAATGAGTTTATTATTTATCAATTGATGAAAAAAACCCAAAAAACTCTGGGATGTGTGTTACTGTACCAAAGTTGCAGAAAGAAATGTTTCAAGATAATATCCTGATTTTTGTTTTTCTTCAAATCTAACCAAGTTAATGAAGTATGAATCCTAAACATTTTGGCTACGTTCACAATGCAGCCTGAAGTGACCCAAATCTGATTTTTTTTGCCCATATGCGACCTGTATCTGATCTTTTCATGGCTGGCTGAACAACACAGATCCGATTTTTTCCAATCAGACCCAGTCCACTTGGCTATGTGATCCTGAATCCGATACAAATCTGATCTTTTCAAATGCGATCTGTGTGTGAACGGCCAGCTCGCATTCATTCGACCTGAACGTCATTAATACTCGACAAAGGTCACTACTCTGCGTCTTGCTACCCAGAAGCGGTAAGAAAAACAACAACCATGGCAGATGATGATGCGGCAAGCAGTATTTATGTTTAACCATATTGAAAAGATTGTGTTTTTATGGTTGAAAAAGATCGGTAGATGTGCGCCGGCTCTACCATTCATGTTTACTTCCCGAAAAAAAGAGCACGCTGGCCTGTGCCGTCATTGCGTCCTCTACTGCGCATGCAGGACACTTGCTTTGTTTGACTGCAGTTCACACAGGAGATCACATACAATTCGCATATATTTGGAAATATGAACGGCAACTCAAAAAAAAAATCGGATTTCGCAAAAAAAAAAATCGGAATTGAGCATCAAGGCCTGCAGTGTGAACGTAGCCTTTGATACTTTTTCCCTTTAAATTTAAGTGACTATATAGCAGTTAGTCTCAGATTTTAACTGTGCTTTGTAGGAATTTTGTTCCAAATATTAATCATTGTCTCAGTTACTTTCAGATTTTATGTAATCCTGACTTAATAAGTCCAGCCTCCGTCTGCTTACTTCCTCTTTATAATGAGTTGTTGACTTGCTTTACATACACAGG